AGAGAAAGCAAAGATCAAGGTCTGGGTCAAAGAAGAAAATGTACCCTCTGCTGCACACACCAGAAGAAATCTATAGACTTACTTGCAGGTAACCTCTATGCTACAAATGTTAATAAAAGTATATTTTATATATTAATAAAAAAAAACTTTTATTTACATACATACATTTCTACTATGATTTACAACCACTAAAATGTCATTCAGTGTAACAATATTTCATACAGGCCCAGTTCTACAGGGGTTCTAGAGGGTGCTAAGCACCCTCATTTCAAGATCTGCCAAACTATCCAGTGCGTATTTGTGTTTGCACAATGGAGAGCATCAAAAATTAATTGTGCAGTTTAGAGAGCTTCATTTGTTATAACAGAACTTTGTGAGATCATGATGAACTAAGACAAGTGACAGCTTCTTAGTGATTATAAAAAGAAGTGCCCTTTGGGTGCTTTAAAGGGTTAGTTCACCCAAAAATAAAAATTAGGCTGCGTTTTACTCACCCCCGAGGCATCCTAGGTGTATATGACTTTCTTCTTTCAGACGAATCCAGTTGGAGTTATATAAAAAATTGTCTTTGATCTTTCAAGCTGTTTAATGCCACTCAGCGGGTGTTGCATGCATCAGTCCAAAAGAACTTAAATAAAAATCACCCATCCATAAAAAAAGTGTCTCTCATGGCACCGGGGAGTGAACAAAGGCCTTCTGCAGCGAATCGATGAGTTTTTGTAAGAAAAATATCCATATTCAAAACGTAATAATCACTTTAATGTAGCTTGCGCCAACAGTTGTACACAGAAGCAGTTCCAGGAGAATGACGTATGAGGTTAACGTTGCGCATGCGCCGGTTATTCTCGTGAAAACCAATGTTTGTTTACAGGATCAAAGGAAGTAAAGTTTCCTTACTTTAGCAAAGAAAAACCAGTCTCCTCTTGGCTTATATCGAAATCCTCTGACATTCTTCTTTACAAATCCTCGTTTTGTACTTCTAATTCTTGACCGTTGTTTTGTTTTGATTTCTCCCCTGCGTTTCCACATGCGTCACTTCTGAGCGGCGCATGCGCAACGCTGACCTCATACGTCATTCCCCCGGAACGGCTTCCATTTACAACAGTGAGCGCAAGCTAGATTCAAGTGATTATTACGTTTTGAATATGGATATTTTTCTTACAAAAACGCATCGATTCGCTACAGAAGGCCTTTGTTCACGCAGGCTAATTTTCATTTTTGGGTGAACTAACCCTTTAAAAGCTATAATTCGTTCAGAATTTGTATACAACTTCTGTCTTTTGGAAACATACACGCTGTAAAATTTCAGGAATGATTCCAAATATTTAGCCTATACGGGATTCACTCTCGAAATAGCAATGATTGATATAGTGATAACCATAGCAATGGATTGGACAAAAAAATTGACATGACAATAGATTTCCATTCAGGCTAGAGCACCCTCACAAATTTCAGAACCACTTTCAGTGATTTAATTCTGGAAACAGACCCAAGTTCATATAACAAAAAAAAAAATCTTGTTAGACACATTTAGAACAAGAATCGTTAGATTACATTAAAAGATTCTATTTAAGGATCACAGCATATCCCCCAAAAACAAATTAATTTTTGCTTTAAATCTTTACCTGTCTTTGCCACTATCCTTCAAACTACAAGGTTTTACCCATTTGTCAGCAAGACAATTTTAATAATTTAAAGTATAATTCAATTTGGTACAATCACTTTTTGTTTTATATATTTTATTAAGTACAGGTCAGAATAAGTGTTTCTCGTTTTTACATAAATATGTTACACTGAATAACGATGGAACATTATTTCATGTGTATTTTGACATTTTCTTTTTATAAAAGTAATTTGAAACATTAGACACCTATTTGTGACCCTGGACCACAAAACCAGTCATAAGGGCCAATTATTTTAAATTGAGATTTATACATCATCTGAAAGCTGAATAAATAAATTAGGAATAAGTTAGGAATAAATAAACAAGTTAGGAATAAATGAATAAATTTGTTAGGATATGACAATATTTGGCTGAGATACAACTATTTGAAAATCTGGAATCTGAGGGTGCAAAAAAATCAAAATATTGAGAAAATCGCCTTTAAAGTTGTCCAAATGAAGTTCTTATCAATACATATTACTAATGAAAAATTAAGTTTTAATGTATTTACTGTAGGGAATTGACAATATCTTCATGGAACATGATCTTTACTTTATCTTAATGATTTTGGCATAAAAGGAAAATCGATAATTTTGACTCATACAATGTATTTTTGGCTATTGCTACAAATATACCCCAGCGACTTAAGACTGGTTTTGTGGTCCAGGGTCACATTTAATATGCTTTCCACGTACAGTATATACTTTTTATTATGTGTGTGTGTATGTGTGTATATATATATATATATATATACATACACACACACATAATAAAAAGTATATACTGTACGTGGAAAGCATATTAAATGTGACCCTGGACCACAAAACCATGTGTGTGTGTGTGTATTTTACATAAATTTCATACAATTTAAATATTACATATTTACTTTTATAAAAATGCTTTCTGTTAGGTTGTTTTGTCTCTTCCTTTTCCCATTACATATATTCATTTTTTTCTGGAGCCCATTTGTCAGTGCATCGTTGTAAATCTAATGTGCAATTGTTTCCGTGTGCAGGTTTTGTGATCTAGTCTTCCAGGGCCCTTTGTCAGTGCAGGAGGACTGGATAAAGCATTTACAGAGGCACATCATGAATACCGCTGTACCGCACACAGGGGCAGGGATGGTGGAAGTTGCCTCCTTCCCCAAGGACTCTTGCCCCAACACAGTACCACAGGCACAACCTTCAGTGATGCAAATATCCTCATGAGCCCAGGAAAACACACAATTTGTCTTTGGAATATCACTTGTATGTAAATTGTTTGGTTCCCATTTGAATTTTATATTGCCATCAGTAAGGACTTTTAAGTTTTTTACTGTTATTGAGGATCTATTGTTAACAGACCGCTTTTTAGATATTGTTACATTGTGCTGGTGTTGAACATTGTCAAAGAACGTACGAACGGTGGGTGAATATGTTGAGATTTCAGTGAAACCCACCAAAAGACAACCTTTACCTCAGATCCTTCTCACACCGAGTTTAATCCGTCAAGGCAGATTTATGCTCTACAAAAACTGAAATTAAACTGTATGTGGATTTTATATCAAGCCATTTTAATTTGAAAACCAACGCAATTTATTTTGTCCCATCCATGGATTTTAAAAGGTGCACATATGATGCATATGTGTAGAAATGTAAGTCTTTTGTAAATGTAAGAACAAGAAATGTAAGTATTTACATTAGAATTTTGACTCATGCCAACACACCAGTCATTATGTGAAACAACCCATTCTATTGATATTAGCAGTTCGGACAGTATGCATGTCATAACTCCCGGTTTACACCATTTCTGGTAACATTTTGGTTGTTCATTTATTACCCTGTTTTGATTTTATCTTTGATCTGTAAGTTTGCCACGTGTGCAAAAAAAAGAAAAAAAAAGAAAAGGAAAATAAACATTAACTGTTACTTGTGTAGGCCATTTTTTACGGTTCAAATATTTTTGTGTATAAACCTTTTTAGGTAATTTATGTGAAAAAATGTAAATCACTATAAACAGTTTTGCTGTTCAGAATAAAATGTTTTTGTCGTCTTCATCTTGTTGGTATGTTCAGCTATGAATGTAACCGTTTGTTTGCAAATGTGTTTATCAATTTGTGCCACAATCTACAGATTGCAAGAGTAGCAGTCATTTTATACACATACAACCTGAAGACTGACTGATTTATCACTAAGTGCTAGATTCAACTTTAGATAAGAGTAAATTACTACTGATACTGGGATATGTGCAGAAAGCCAAATCGTCCTCTCTAATGAGGCAGACCTAGTCATGTGAAAGAAACTGGTGGATCTGTTGGTAGATCCTGAACAGTTAGGTGTCACCAAGTTTGTGGGAATATAAATCCAAGCAGAAGAGTCATGATATCACATTCAGCTTCAGACACACCCATTGCTGAAAGGTGTTCAGATTTAAGAACAATCATGCCACCTCCATTCACAAACACTTGCAGACTTATTGAACCAAAGGGCTCAGTGTCTTAGGCAAATTTTTCACCAGCTGTAACTATAAACAGTTATCAAGATAGAAATGTCTACGGGAAACGACAATAAAACCAAACAGAAAGGGGTGGGCTAACCCTCCCTGCAGGTATTGTTCTTTGTAATATTAGCCCTTCGTGCTAAACCTGAAGGTTAATCCGATTGCTTTTTAAAAACATTGTAACATGTATCGAAGTCTTGTTCATACACAACATTTAATAATAATCAGAGAACAGAAAAAATAAGGCATTAATAATTACACAACAGAGAATGTTAAGGGCAGTTGTTGTAGATGTTCTTTGACAAGCGTTTGGCTTCTAAGATATAATCATAATGACAGCGCAAAAGTAAACCGAGGACAGCTTTACAAGGTCACTGTCTTTCTAATCATTAGGTGCAGGGTGTACACCCCCCATCCCCCCATTCTGGCAGTTCTTAGTCCTTGACATGCCTCTTATCAGCACAACACAGCAAAAACTTTTCATATGTTTCACACTTAACAAAGGAAATCTTCGTCTTCGACTCGAAAGCGTGTTGCAATATTGCTGTTATTGCTAAAGAGAAAAGATGAACTTTCATCAAATCTTTCATCCTGTCAAATCTTGTCTTTTGGAGCGTATAAAATGCTGAGAAGTGCAGCTCCTAAACTCAATGGACAAATCTAACAAAATACATGATACATTTACATGTGTTTAATGTTGTATAAAAAACATAAAATATATTCTAGGTTGGGATTGTTTCCATAACTAAAGAGTTAAAGAAAAGACCTCACTGAAAACTGCCGTTGATAGACATTTTTGAAAACAAATTTATGAGAAATTACTGACCTTTCAATACTTAAAGGGATAGTTCACCCAGAAATGGTCATTCTGTCATTATTTATAGGTGTTTTTGTCTATACAATAAAAGTCAGTAGGGTCGGATGTTGTTTTGGGCCCATTAATGGAAAAAAAACTGTTCAAAATATCTCCTTTTGTGTTCCACAGTAGTCATACAAGTTTGGGATGACAAGTACATTTTTGGGTCCACTGACTCTTTACGATATGCATCAGCCTGCATATTCAATATGACAACAAAAATGTAAATAACACCATATACAAGTTTAACAGAACATAATTTAAACAAATGGCAAACAGAATCAAACACAAACCTGTTGTTTGCAATGTTCCTGTTGTATGTTGCAACACATGTGTATTTGCTTCCTGTCTTTGAGGCCCATTTATAGACCATATTGTTGATGACAGGCCCATAGAAGTTTTTGCAGACTTCTGCAGAATTGAAATGTCCATCAGTCCATTATTCACTACTGATACTTTCCTTGACCTCCAGAGGCAGTGTGTCGAAAAGATGATCCTCCACGAAAAGGAGGTTTTTCCGAAGAAGGCGACACTGGCCAAGCTGGAATGGAAGGCAATCTAAGCAGTTCCCTTTGAGCTCTAGATGGGACAGCTGAACTAACTGCCCAATCGCCTCTGGGATGGAAGTGATGCTGTTATGACCCACACATAAAACCTTTAGTTTGGAACATTTAAACAGTTGATTAGGCAGAACCTCTACCTTGTTCCCAGTGATTGCGAAATGCTGAAGGTTGTGAAGGTATCCAACCTCCACTGGTATACTTGAGATGCAATTGTGGCTGAGGTCAATGTGCCTCAGCTTGGGCAGATGAAACAAAGCTGGAGGAAGGGTCTCTAGTTTATTGTGACAGATAACGAGGGACTCCAGACTCTTTACTAAGCCTATCGATGGTGGAATGGCAGTGATCTTGTTGTACCATAACTTGAGGCACATCAATCTTCTCAGGTGCTGAAAGCTTATGATCTCCTCAATGGTCCGGATATTATTATTCTTCAAATCCAGTTCTTGCAAGTTAGCCAAGCTAAAGATGGCATGGGGGATCCTCTCCAAATCACAGTTCTGGAGCTCCAAATCAACCAGGCTCGTTATCTTCTTGAGACTGTTCAGTACCAGTAATTTAGTCCCATCATTGTGTATCACCAGTTTGGTAAGATGTGGCGAGAGTTCTGCTAGATTAGTTGGTATTTTGTTGAGATTGCTTTTGAGGTACAACATCCTCAAGTGTCTTAGATCTCTAAGTGACTCCAAACCGATCATCTTGTTGTGTTCAGAGTTCAAGTTCCCAATCAGGTTCAGTTCCTTTAGGCTCCTCAACAGATAAATCCACGCTGGGATTTCTGCTACATCAGTAAACTTAATGTGAAGGCATCGCAGATGGTCACGGAGAAAAGTGAAAGCAGTTTGTTCGACTTTAGCGGGGCAGTGATATAGATGTAGTTCTCGTAGGTTGGTCATCTGAGAAACTTTGGCTGAAATCCTGACCTCAGGAATAAGCTCTAACTTGAGGACTTCCAGATCGGTGAGGTCAAATACAGCATTAGGGAGTCCCGACAGCATAAAGAGTTGAAGTTCTTGTTCATCCTGAGCATTGGAGGTCACATGCTGACGTAGTTTTTCGAACGTCCATTCGTGGTTAAGGCTTATTTCTCGTAGTTTGTTCTCACTCACCTCAGAGAGAAATACGCCAAATCGTTTGGAGTACAACTGGTCGTATTGGTCGACCATGTGTAGAAGAAACGCAAAGTCGTTTTTGACATCAGGAATATCACTAAAGCTACTTTCCTCTCTGACTTTTTCAAAAGAGTACTCCTTAAGAGGTCTCCTGAAGAGCCAGTAGAGTGTATACAAACACACCAGTCCATAGAGACATATCATAGCCATAAAAGTGAAAAGAAGTTTCCTCAACATGAATGCCATGTTGTGCGTGCAAAAGAACTGATCATACCCGGTCAAACTTTCGATTTTAGGTTGGCATATATGGCAGAAACTGATCTTCGAGGCAAATGTTGATGTATAGCTCAAGATCAAAATGATCTTTAGTGCTTTTATTGCTGTCTGAGCCACATAGAGTTTATAGATGAAGTCACTGTCTTCTACATGGACTCGAAATTTTCGCACTTTCTCAAAAAGAGCCTTGGCTTGTTCTCCATCTTTTTTGTCTAAGGTGGTCAGGCTAGGAGCTTCTGCAATAAGCTTTTCGGTTGGAAACTGCACCGTTGGAGTTTCAATTAAAGGTGTAGACTGACTGCTGTCCTCCGAGGATACGTGTTTCTGGAAAACCACACCACCTGTGAATCTCTGCTTTTCCTCGGAATCTTCACAAGCAGTTTCAGACAAAGCTTTCGTTGTCCATGGTGATTCAAAGCACCGCCCCAAAATGGAAACAAAGTGTTCAATCTTTGAGCTGGTCTTTGGGTACTTGAACCAAAAATTGCTGCTTACCATTAGCATTATAGTGTGTATGAGGGCAAGGTAAGGGAAGTATTTGTTGTACCATGGTAGGGCATCATGGTAGCACATTTGGTTGACAAAAACATACTGCTGATAGTCCAGATTTGTTTTTCGTCCTCTGGGTTGAGGTTGAGACCACCTATCTTCTCCTTTTAAGGGGGTAGGTTGAGTGTTAAGGAGTTCATGTGCAACGCTGTCAGGAAGGTCTCTGGTTGTTGAGGGTGTGGTGCCCAGAACGGATGTGGAACATTCTAATCGATTTTGTGCTGCCTCAGGGTTTGTGCTTTCCTCAAGAATGGGAAGACATGCCACTTGGTCTTTGGATAACTGCATAGTCCCAGAAAAGATGGCTAACATCAACATTATTACTCCAATATAATCCATGAACACATCCCACCATGGTTTCAGAATACGGTATTTCGGCTGGATGTCATTAAGGGAGGCAACTTCAGTTAGACTGAACATCCCTGTAATAAAGAGTAGTGCAGTCAGTGCATATGAAACCAGTGCATGTTTGAACAGAATTAATTTGAGCCTATTACATGTCTCAACATTCTTCAAAGGTCTTGGGTGTTTACTCCAAGATAAAGTAAACGAACACTATATTTTATTGAGCAGATTTACATTTAGTCAGACTCTTTCACTGAAAATGACTTACAGCACAAATGTATATATAAAAGAGTGAGTTAAACCATGCAGAGTGCATGTACTGACTGTGCATAATTTGAAAAATACCTGCTAGCCACATGTGGCTTCAAGTTACAACATGAAAGGTCCGACCATCTCAAGAGTGTGTTATGTTTGAAATAGCACTTCACTGCGACGACTCGCATGTTTGTGTGGCATGAGAAACACGTGTCCATTCACTTCAGATGTGATTCCTGATTCTGGGTTAAAACATTTTTGGCTGCCAACATGGTATTTATAGCCCAATTCTGTTTATAGCCCAATTCTGTTTTTAAACTCCCAGTGGCATGCACACAGTTCGAGCACTGCTTTATTTGATGTCTGCTATTTTCTCAGAGTAGTGCATGAGAAATAGAGTCTGGAAACACATGGCAGCTGGTAATCATTAGAATTGTCTGTGATAACCATTTAAGGGATTTAAGAAATATATAAGCTAAGAAGCCCACGATTCTAACTTTGAGTTGATTGCATCGCTGGGTCATTCCACAAAAAGAGTGTTTTATGTGTCTTTATTTTGACTTTTACAGCTAATTCTCTTTTCAGGACAAGCCTTAGTGACTTCAATTCATATGTTGTTAGATTTATCAGTAGGGGGCGACCTTGCAAATACACAAAACTGTTTTAATGTATGTCAACATTAAATTCTGTTAAACAGCGTCTTGTAGAGCCAAGACAGCACAATGCCAAATTATGGCTTTTGTTTTCATACATTATTATGAGTAAACTTTTTAAATCAGCAATTCAGAATCCAAATGCAGCCATTTAGTCGATGACCCTGTAAATTTAATTTGAAAACGTTTCTAGGTTGTTCTGAAATGGATATTATCAGGCTAATGAAACAGTGTCTTAAAATAGAAATATTCTCATTCGTATAATGCAGTAATTTATTGTCAAGATCTACGAGGCAGACAGAGTCTGAAAAGC